AGGGGGGATTTGATAGCTGCTTTCATCTACCTGAGAGGTAGTTCCAGAGAGGATGGTTCTAGACTATTCTCAGTGGTGGAAGAGGACAGGACAAGGAGTAATGGTCTCAAGTTGCAGTGAGGGAGGTTTAGGTTGGATATTAGGAAAAACTTTTTCACTAGGAGGGTGGTGAAATACTGGAATGCATTGCCTAGGGAGGTGGTGGAATCTCCTTCCTTAGAAGTTTTTAAGGTCAGGCTTGACAAAGCCCTGGCTGGGATGATTTAATTGGGTATGGGTCCTGCTTTTGAGCAGGGGGTTGGACTAGATGACCTCCTGAGGTCCCTTCCAACCCTGATATTCTATGATTCTATGAATACTGAGAACATACCTTTATCCACCCCTCACACCACACTCCTTCCCAGAAATTAAGAGCGTAACCTATTTGTAATTATTGCTAGGGGGACAAATAATACTTTGCACTTGCAGCATGTAACATTTATTAGAGGTCCCTCAAGCATTTTGCAAGCATTGACCCTGAGAAGAGGGCACAGTAGATAGGATTGCACCCCCTCTACAGGGAAACTGAAGCTCAGAATGGCTAATCACTTGACTTGTTCAAGACAGGCAGCTAGAATTATAGAATATCAGGGTTGGAAGGGACCTCAGGAGTTCATCTAGACCAACCCCCTGCTCAAAGCAGGACCAATCCCCAACTAAATCATCCCACCCAGGGCTTTCTCAAGCCTGACCTTAAAAACCTGAAAGGAAGGAGATTCCACCACCTCCCTAGGTAATGCATTCCAGTGCTTTACCACCCTCCTAGTGAAAAGGTTTTTCCTAACATCCAACCTAAACCTCCCCCACTGCATCTTGAGACTGTTACTCCTTGTTCTCTCATCTGGTACCACTGAGAACAGTCTAGATCCATCCTCTTTGGAACCCCCTTTCAGGTAGTTGAAAGAAGCTATCAAATACCGCCTCACTCTTCTCGTCTGCAGACAAAATAATCCCAGTTCCCTCAGCCCCTCCTTATAAGTCATGTGTTCTAGACCCCTAATCATTTTTGTTGCCCTCTTTCCAATTTTTCCACATCCTTCTTGTTGTGTGGGGCCCAAAACTGGACACAGTACTCCAGATGAGGCCTCACCAATGTGGAATAGAGGGAAATGATCACGTCCCTCGATCTGCTGGCAATGCCCCTATTTATACATCCCAAAATGCCATTGGCCTTCTGGCAACAAGGGCACACTGTTGACTCATATCCAGCTTCTTGTCCACTGTAATCCCTAGGTCCTTTTCCGCAGAACTGCTGCCGAGCCATTCGGTCCCTAGTCTGTAGCAGTACATGGGATTCTTCCTTCCTAAGTGCAGGACTCTGCACTTGTCCTTGTTGAACCTCATCAGATTTCTTTTGGCCCAATCCTCTAATTTGTCTAGGGTCCTCTGTATCCTATCCCTACCCTCCAGCGTATCTACCACTCCTCCCAGTTTAGTGTCATCTGCAAACTTGCTGAGGGTGCAATCCACACCATCCCCTGGATCATTAATGAAGATATTAAACAAAACTGGCCCTAGGACCGACCCCTGGGGCACTCTGCTTGATGCCGGCTGCCAACTAGACATGGAGCCATTGATCACTACCCGTTGAGCCCGACAAACTAGCCAGCTTTCTAGCCACCTTATAGTCCATAGCTAGTTAGGATGAGAGCTGAAAATGGAATCCAGGACTCTTTCTCCTGGGTTCTTTGCACTAACCACTTAGACCCATTTCCTCTCAACCAGAGGAATTCCTTAGGGATGCCATTTGGAATAATTCTGCAGTAGCTTAACATGTAGGGGAGAGGTAGAGGGAGAAGGAAAGTGCTTTTATTTGATACACGGAGTCCTGCCTGTGGTGGGGGGCAAGTGTAAGATATAACTGAGGGCAAGCACTACTGAAGTGTACCCATACAAATGGCTTTGATGTTAAGGACAGCTGTCTGAGAGCTGTATGGTCCTTTCTGCAGCATAGCTCGCCGTCCAGATCTATCTAAAGTATTGCTGGCCTGATTTCATCACTCCCGCTGACCTTGCTGGGAGCAATGGGTGCTCAGCAAGGCTTTCCTGATGCATTCCTAACGTGGCGCCCATCTCTGCTGCTGGTGGTATGTGCAGTGCTGGCATAAGTTACCTGTGTCCCTGCACAATGGGCATGTTGCATTTGTTGGTGTCGCCAGGAAACAAATAAGGATCCCATGTGAAACTGCCTGGTCCCACAAGAGGTGTGCAGTCACTGCTGTCCCGCCCTGCACTTTCTTTCCTCATGTTGTTGTTAGCTAACTGGAGGTCTTGATCCGGACTTGAATTTTTACTATTCTGTCATAATATGCAGGCGGCCTACTCTGGATAGATGGGGTAACCGCTAGCTGTTAGCAAACAGAACATGTGCTGTTGGCTGACTGCCTCCTTCTGCATGCCGCTTGCTTTGGCAGGCTGCCCTGGCTTATGTGGACTGTAGGTTTTGACGAACCAGCTGTTGAAAAGTTTCATGAGCTTTTTTTAATCAATAAATTAAATAGCCACGCTGCATTCAGACCTTCCACACTGGGGGGCTGGGAATCAGAAGCATCATCTGGTCAGTCTCTTATGAACAAAGCATAGTGTCTGTACACAGTCCCTTCAAATCAACAGAACCATAGTCACCACTCTCTTTTACAGGCCCTTGCTTCAGAATGGATGCCTCTGACCCATTCACTGCTGGGGTAGCTAACTAAACGTATAACCTCTGTGTAAAGGGAAATCCCATTTGTTTTGTTTGGGGTGGGGGTTCCTCTATCATTGCAAGGCATACAGGTGATGTAGCTGGTCCATAGTGCAGTGTTGCTGTGTGAGTCCCAGGATATCAGAGAGACAAGGCAGGGGAGGTCATAGCTTTTATTGGACCAGCTTCTGTTGTGAGACATCAGCTTTTATGCTTACGAAGAGCTCTGTGTAGCTTGAAAGCTTGTGTTTCTCACCAAGAAAAGCTGGTCCAATAAAAGATATTACCTCATAGAAATAATATGAATGTTATTTATGTGGATCCAGGAGGCTCAGGGAGCCAGCCATACAACAGAAAAAAAACAAATCCAGAACCATAAAAATAAAATAAAATCCCACACACATGAACAAGGGTATCTGATTATACAGGGAAAACCAGAGGGGTTTTTTTGTTTTGTTTTTTAGAAAGAAAATCTTTATTTAGGAACATGGGAACAGAGGAATTTTTTTTTTTTTAAAGAGAAAGGTGAGCTAAGCTATTAGTTCAACGACATGATTAGGAAGCTAACTATTTAAATCAGGTTCCAAAGAAAAGCTCTGTTAAAAGAGGAAAGGTGACATTTCACATTTAATGAAAGCACAATTGGCAAACATTTCAAAAACCAAAAGTGTTTATAAAAAATTTAGTTCTAAAATGTAAATATGGGGAAGAAGACAGACCTAGGGCCAGTACTGGTCATTCTAAAAGCACCCTTTGAGAAAGACAAGCTTTAAAATACTTCATTAACATATATTAGAAAATCCACAAAGGCTGTGGATTTAAGCAGATAGCATGTTTCACACTGTAGGACCTTCTGCTTGGCAAAAGCAACATCGGCAAAAGCAAGTTGCTGACTTCAGACATGAGGTTGAAGTGCAGGCAGGTGTGTGAGCACAGAGACTCATCAGTACCAGGTGCAAGGAACAAGTCTTGAAGGCAGCCACCATTTAGAGTTTTAAAACTGATAGGGTTCTCTGGCAGTGGTGAGGCCATTGCTAGAATACTCTGCTTAGTCCTGGGCAAGAAGGTGTTGTGATGGACAAGTGGGGAGGAGAATTCAGAGAGGAGCAATAAAAGGGTCAGATGCTGCCCTTGTTCACAACAGTGTCTCTCTAGAGTGACTCCAGTTAAGCCATTTTCGCCAGTGTAACTGAGATGAGACTCTGCCTCAAAGTGCTCCAGCAGCCAGGGAGATTGAGGTAGGCCAGGTCTACACTAAGAAGTTATGTTGACCCAGCTACGTCACTCGGGTGTGAAAAATCCACACCCCTGAGCAACCTGGATTTGTGCTGGAAATGGCCCACCTTGATGATCATACACATTGTAAGGAGAGTGATCACTTTACATAGGCTATTACCAGCAGGAGAGTGGGGTGGGGGGAGAGAAAACCTTTTGTAGTGATAATCACTGATTTTTTCATGGTTTGTGTGTATAAAAACGTCTTCTGTACTTTCCACAGTATGCATCCGATGAAGTGAGCTATAGCTCACGAAAGCTTATGCTCAAATAAATTGGTTAGTCTCTAAGGGGCCACAAGTCCTGCTTTTCTTTTTGCTCACTCCCAGTGTAAACGGCACTAGGTCGATAGAAGAATGTTTCCGTTGACTTAGCTGCTGCCGCTCCGAGAGGCTGATTAACTATGCCGACAGAGAAACCGCTCCCGTTGATGTAGTGCGTGTCTGTGCTGAAGTGCTGCAGTGTCATAGCTGCTGCTGAAGCAGTTTAAGTGTAGACACAGCCTTACATGGAACGAATGAAATGTGTCTAGGGCCTTCTGTATCCTATCCCGGCCCTCCAGCGTATCTACCTCTCTGTGTAGCCGTCTGAAGCACTGTACGATGTGTAAACAGCAAGGAGGGAGAGGATTTGTATAAAGTGATCCAAGGGGCAGTGACAGGAATAGGATGAAATGGAGCACAGGAAGTTTTTACAACTGAGATTTATAGATGGTAAAAGAGTCTCCCAAGGAAGTGGCACCAGCTTTATCACTAGAATATTTAAAACTAGACTGGGCAAAGCACTTGAAAGTGTAGAGAACAATTCTACACTGCTGAGAGGATGGACAGATTGGTGCCTTTTCCATTTCTAATTTCTGTGCTTCATATAGTGTCACAGATTATTTGTATAATGCACAAAAAATGTGCTTTCCTGGCTCATTTCCCTTAAGAGGTAATAGTTTTTATTTCCCTTCAGCAGTTCTATTTGTCTGATAGTGTTGGTTTTTTTTCTTCTGACACAGAGGGTGCTCCCAGGTGGGGATTATCAGGGCACTGATCGAAGCAGGCATCCCAGTTGATATGATTGGAGGAACTTCCATTGGCTCATTCATGAGTGCCCTGTATGCTGAAGAGCGTAGCTATAATCAGATGAGGATCAAAGCAAGGCAATGGGCAATGGTAAGAAAGTAGAATATATGTTTATATTCTTTTCCACTTTTAATGTATAGGAGTTTTGACATTAGCCACAGCACACATGGCAGCACAGAAGGAGCAGTCCAAGGTCAGAATACAGCCTCTGGATCTTAGGAGAGGTGAAGAAGAGTGTTTGAAATGGCTCTGATATGTTTGTTTTTTTCCAGTAGTGAAGGATGAGATGCTGCCAGTGCCTTATGCAAAAGTGTACACTGCCACAAAGCATGAGAAACTTTGTTGGCAGAGTGCAGGATGCTTCCTGTAGACAGAACTGGTGCCTATTGGAGTGAGGCATGTCAGCAGCTCTGTACAGAACTAATCTCCATAAATCAGGAATCTGATGTTTTGATAATGGAGCATATCTACCATGTCTGTTGGAAAAACAGAGCGCTCTTAGGGCACTCTGCTGGACTTGATCATATTTTGTAACATTACACTGCATCAGTAGGACAAATGCCTCACTCTGGTGCTGTACTCAGCTGCATTCTTGCTGTGGATCTGGGTTTTCTTTCTCTCATTGTACAGGTGGGTTTGGGGTGGATGTGTGATGGGGAAGGATCACATTAATGCATTCGGTGCAGTGACTAGACAGTACAGGAGCTTGAATTTAAAGTAGGGCTGTCAAGCGATTAAAACAATTTAATTACAATTTAAAAAATTAATTGCAATTAATTGCCCTCTTAAACAATAATAGAATACCATTTATTTAAATATTTTAGATGTTTTCTACATTTTCAAATATCCTGATTTCAGTTATAACACAGAATACAAAGTATGCAATGCTCACTTTATATTTATTTTTTATTACAAATATTTCCACTGTAAAAACGAAATAGTATTTTTCTGTTCACCTAATACAAGTACTATAGGGCAATCTCTTTATCATGAAAGTTGAACTTACAAATGTAGAATTATGTACAAAAAATAACTATTCAAAAATAAAAATGTAAAACTTTAGAGCCTACAAGTCCACTCAGTCCCATTTCTTGTTCAGCCAGTCAAGTTTGTTTACATTTGCTGGAGATAATGCTGCCTGCTTCTGGTTCACGTCACCTGAAAGTGAGAACAAGGTGTTCTCATGGCACTGTTGTAGCCAGTGTTGCAAGATATTTACATGTCAGATGTGCTAAAGATTCATGTGTCCCTTCATGCTTCATCCACCATTCCAGAGGACATGCGTTCATGCTGATGACAGGTTCTGCTCGATAACAATCCAAAGCAGTGCAGACCGATGCATATTCATTTTCATCATCTGAGTCAGATCCCACCAGCAGAAGGTTGATTTTCTTTTTTGGTGGTTCAGGTTCTGTAGTTTCCACATCAGAGTATTACTCTTTTGAGATTTCTAAAAGCATGCTCCACATCTCATCCCTCTCAGGTTTTGAAAGGCACTTTAGATTCTTAAACCTTGGGTTGAATGTAGCTATCTTTAGAAATCTCACATTGGTACCTTCTTTGCGTTTTGTCAAATCTGCAGCAAAAGTGTTCTTAAAATGAGCATGTGCTGGGTCATCATCTGAGACTGCTATAACATGAAATATATGGCAGAATGCAGGTAAAATAGAGCCAGAAACATACAGTTCTCCCGCAAGGGGTTCAGTCACAAATTTAATGAACGCATTATTTTTTTTAACAAGCGTCATCAGCAAGGAAGCATCTCCTATAGAATGGTGACTGAAGCATGAAGGGCCATATGAATGTTTAGCAATCTGGCACATAAATACCTTGCAATGAAGGCTACAAAAGTCCCGGGCGAACGCCTGTTCTCACTTTCTGGTGACACTGTAAATAAGAAGCAGTCAGCAGTATCTCCCATAAATGTAAACGAACTTGTTTGTCTTAGCAATTGTCTGAATGAGAAGTAGGACTGAGTGGACTTTGTAGGCTCTAAAGTTTTGCATTGTTTTGTTTCTGAGTGCAGTTATGTAACAAAAGAACTACATTTGTAAGTTGCACTTTCACAACAAAGAGATCGCACTACAGTACTTGTATGAGGTGAATTGAAAAATGCTATTTCTTTTGTTTATCATTTTTACAGTGCAAATATTTGTAATAAAAATAATAATATAAAGGACACTTTGCATTCTGTATTGTAACTGAAGTCAATATATTTGAAAATGTAGAAAAACATCCAAAAATAATTAATAAATTTCAATTGGTATTCTATTGTTTAATAGTGCAATTAAAACTGTGATTAATCACGATTAATTTAGTGAGTTAATAGCGTGAGTTAACTGCGATTAATCAACAGCCCTAATTTAAAGGAATGCCTCCCAGTCCATTTTGAAGACAGGCTGTATGTTAATCACCCAAAGCTACCCATCAAGCAGCCAGTCTGTCACTCCAAACTTGTTATGAATTTGGCACATCAGTCTCAGGATATTTGCCTAGTTCAGGGGGCAAAGGCAAGAGAATCCTCCAAGTCCTGGAAAATCTTCAGATAAGATATTTTTAAAGCACAGATGGTGGTATTCTCCTAAGGAGACAGAGAAACCTGCACAATGATAGCATTGTAACACGCAAGGCTCTCGGCTACCAGAGAGGGACTGTTAAGTTTCCACTACCATAGTGGTAGGTTGGGTCTGTGTGAGTTCCTGAGGACTGCAGGGCTGAAATAGACACCCATTGCTTCTGCATGTACACCAGCCCTACTCTCAGTGTGAATGTACATCTTTGCACAAGTGTTAGCTGGTGTTTATCATTGTTTCTTGTCTTTATATGTGCTGGGGTCTGTTTTCTTTCCAAGTCTGACCATATAACTTTCTCTCTTTCACTTTCACATGCTGTCATCTTTTGAGTAGAAGTGATTGACTGAGGTAATTCTTCTCTAAACTAACTAAGAACCAAATGTCTGATGTAAGATGTAGCCCCAGTGTTCCAGGGGTCAGGTACTGCATTAGGGAGGAAAATGTTGATTATTTTTTTAAATATACGAAACTCTGGGTTTTTTAACTACACTTAGCTGTGTGCTGACTGTTTAAATAACAATTTATAATTTGTTTGAGGAATTAAGAACACCAGAAAACATGCACAAAACTGCCCTAGCATCAAGCAGTGCTGGTTATAGATGACTGATGGTAAAAGATAGCATTGGTTACATCTGGGATCTGCCAATTATAAAGTGATTTAATGTATTTATTTTATTTCTAGTTTTTATATAAAAATTGTTTCCAATTTCGTTTTTCTAATGAAAGGAAAGTGACCTGATGAAGTTTCCAAGCTGGATTGAAACTAACAGTCCTCTTATATCTTGTGAGACTTAAAGTGGGAGACAGAGAAATCTGCAACTGGCATCTTGCAGATCTATTCTAACATTGCCTTTTGCAGGTAGCTTCTCCAGCTGTAGTCAGCTGTGGGTTTGGCTGCTTTCCTAGCCAAAGTCACAGTTGCACAAATAACGATTCATGCTGTAGGTTTTAGTCCTGGGATATTATGATAGCATTGGAACACGCAAGGCCCTAGGCTTCCAGAGAGGGACTGTTAAGTTTCCACTACCATAGTGGTAGGTCGGGTCTGTGTGAGTTCCCAAGGACTGCAGGGCTGAAACAGACATCCATTGCTTCTGTATGTGTAAATGTACATGTTTGGCTACTTTCCTAGCCAAAGTCACAGTTGCACAAATAATGATCCATGCTGTAGATTTTAGTCCTGGGATATTATTCATGTGCAGCAAGGATGTGTCAAGGTCCCTGCCTAAGGCTATATCTTATCATAGAATCATAGAATATCAGGGTTGGAAGGGACCTCAGGAGGTCATCTAGTCCCCCCACCCACCCAGTTACACTTCTAAAATTGGATGGACTGACAGACATTATTTGAATAAACCCCTAGATTGAGGGTTCCCACCTTTACCAAATACACACACAGTCACTTCAAGGGGAGCGTCCATATAACAAAGCCCACAAACTTCCCCACGTTTTCTGCTTGTTTTTGCTACCATAGCAATCTCAGGTCCGCCCTTCCATCCCACTCTCCCTTGAAGTTCACTTGTTCCTTGCCCTCCCAACTCTAACTCTGCACCCATTTCCCAACATGCCATGATCACTGCAGCCATCTTGGCTTCACAGCACCATTACTAGAGTGCAGGGGTGTTATTCTGGGACCCTATGGAGGGATTTAAGAGAGGTCATGAAGGTTTTGTGGATTAAAACAGCTTTAAGTAACTTCCTGTAACTCTTACAGCTCTGCAGCCTCTTGAAATGGTAGCTCGAGCTTGGTGCCTTTTGAAAGCAGAGATTCTGGGCTTCCCAGTGGTTGCAGGTGCTGGGTCACTACACTTGGGTGGCTGCAGAGGCTTCACAATTAAACTGGCACTCAGTAACTTTGTAGAAATAAACTTAATTTAGTAACAATAGATCAGCCTTCCCACACCTCTTTAAGGTTTGGGAGGGAGCATGCTAGTCTCCTCCAGTGCACACAAGTCTACCATAAGAATGGCTGGTGGGTTGCACCTCCAAGAGAACTGAATTGTCATGGAGGGACAATTATCCTCTCAGTCTGAAAAGCCCTTTCTTTGCAAGCCTTTGAGATGAAGGGAGCTGTATCTGTCAAATGTTATTTATCATCCAGATGGGATAGACTTTTAAATTGTACATGCAGATTTTAGTCTAATTTTATTGATACACAAAGCATATGTTGTCAAATGGCTCATTCTTAGCACCGGTGCTGTTCTGTTAATCCAGTATGGAGTGGCCCCACTTTCTATCCAGACTACCGTATCCCTGCAAGGTACAAATAAAAATTAGGTAATATTATCCTCAGAAATACTGATTTCATCTTATTATTGAAGAGTGCTTTGAAGAGCTGCTTGGGATTTTTATAACCATTTTGACAAGCACACACCATTCCACATGCAAAACAGGAGTTGCTTAATTATTTAGGGAGATGTCAAAATGTGGCAAGATAAGAACAGACAGCTCTGGGTGGTGGCCTCTTCACTGCAGATGGCGTGCTGTGGGACTGGATCCAGCAAAATTATTTTCTGT